ATTGCTCTTTAAACATTTGGTTGGGTTTTCGCACCAATCTTGTAAAGAGAACCCATCCATTCCTGCAATATTTTTTGCCCAGTAAAAAGATCGAGTTTGAACTAGTTGAAAAAAGCAGTCTACATTTGCTTCCTTTGTATTAAAAATCCTATCATTCCTACCCAGCCATAGTGTCCAGACCACTGCAAACCAGATGATATTCCACCCTCTATCAAGTATTTTTGGGCATTTTGAAGATAAAAGTTGAGAAAAAGAAAAAGACAGAAAGCCAAAATCCTTTTAAAAAAATATTAGCAAGCATAAATGGAATTTACCCAGAAAATTCAGCGGAATCTAATTGATCTATTTCCAGAAATTAAAAGGACATTACCAGTGACACATGGGCTTGGAATTTAGACACCACAGATGCATCAACCAAATCCCAGAAGAAAACAACACCACAGAACCATCCTCAGATCCACCAGTTAAGTGGGAATCAGTATTGGTAAGGCAGCAATCCATTTTGAATGACTAGTACAGAGAAAAAAAAAGATGGAAATTATAGCAAACAACGAATGACAAGGAGTTATTCAAAAGTCAAAGCATAAGGGAGATTGTCTACGAAAAGCAGGAATTGATTAACTAGACTTCAGAAATGAAAATGGAGAATTGACTGAGATTGCATATAAACTCTCAAGGATAGATAACCACCATTCAGAAAGGACTGCATGTCTGCATTAATGAAAATTGCAAACTCCAGATAAGGCATGCTAACCTTGCAAGTGTGTCCTTTATATTCTTGCAACAGTCCAACTGTAGGCCTGGGATATGAGAGACCCAACATAAGGGTTAGGGAAAAGCTGGGTGAATAACATGCATAAAAAATCAACACAAAAGTGTATGAATATACTGGTCCAGAAGGCACGGGGTAGAATCTAAGCAACTACATGTGCAGTTACTATCAATTGACATTGAGATACAATTGGCAGGTTGCCCCAAGTCATCAGATGTTTCTCTACATATCCAAAGCAAGAAAACATCTATAGCAAATTGTCCACAATGATTACAGACATATACACTTCAAAAATTCACATTATATTACAGTGAAAAAAGTACCATTCTAAATATAATTGTGCTACATACTTACCAATAGGAATGTCAAAGGTTCTAACAGTTCCATCAACACTACCACCAATAATTTAAATATTTGTCAAGCATACAGACATCCAAAAATGTGTCAATTATCTGTATACAAATCCAGAACTTATGAAATGTAAGTTGATTGTACAAACTAAAATGCATCCATGAGCACGAAAAAGTTTCTAAAATGATTAAGGGTTCAACCTGGATAGGCTTGTGCTACAGGACCTACAGTCCCAAGCACACAATGAACAAAACACAACCACAGATGCATACTCATTAAACCTAAAATAAAAAATTCAAATGGCACTAACAGCTTCAGCTTCATAAAAAAAAAAAGAAAAAAAAAAAGACTATCAAATTACACTACCAGTTGCTACATCCCAATAGAAGATTTGGCAATCACCACCACAAGAACATGGCTAAGAATTGTCCCATTAATTGAAAAAAAGAAAAAGAAAATTGCTTTAGTTGAAGTCTGAAGAAGAGAAGAAATACAGAGCAAGAGTATAACAACTGGTAAAAGTCGTTCAAATCTTAACAAAAATTGCCAACCATGATATATATCACAAAATGATAGATTGAACCATAACAAGCAAACAGAATTAAAATCTAGCTAAGTGTATCAACAATGAGTACTCATCACATTAAATCAAGAAAGGAGAAGAATGTTCATCCTATCAAGTCACATGACCTTGTATCCAACAGTGACAATGGGAAGATTTAAGCATGAAAAGACAGCCAAGATGAATTTTCATTATACATACAGTGAGATTGAGGAGATTTAAGAATAATAGGACTCTGACCTTTCTCGTTCTAAACCTTGTATGACATCCTCCATCAGTCTCAAAATCATGAAAGGAGAAGAATGTTAATCCCCCAGCAAGCCAATCTGTTGACAGAAAATATTTCATCCTGAAGAGAAACATTATCATGCTTGATAGAATGTTCACTGCATGACTTTGTCAAACTTTTTAACTTTTTTGACAAGATGACCACCACCTATATTAAATAGAGGAAACATAACTAATAAAAAAAAAAGGTGAAATGCAGAACATAAATTTGATCAATAAACTTAAAACACAGTTTTGCTCCCTTATAAATTGATAGAGTCAGCTATTTTGGTAATTTTTCTTCATTTGAACCTACAAATGCTACAGGAATGTTACAAATAACAATTTTCCAATTGTACTGTCATTATGCAGGATCACCCCCAAAACAGTTGCCAAGAGAAGAAGACAGAGCAAATAAATGAAAGCATCTAAACATGTACAAACTACCATAGAGAAAGCTAGCAAGAGGGGCTGATGCATGGTCACCACTGTCATCCATGCACATTTACAGTGAAGAAAATGCTTACTCCAGTAACCAGGAAGAATAGGACAACTGTAGATTCTTTATTTGGAGATAAAACACAATTTGAAAATGCGTCAAGGATCTGCAAGATCAGGTAAAAATGAATTGATTGCAAGATATTGTTTGGAAGGAAGACAGGCTCAGCACAAAATATATGTAGGCATGAAATCCATCCATCCATTGTTTTCATTTAAGGAATATTTGGTGTCATTGTTTTCATTTAAGGAACACTTGGTGTCTCTCTGATAAATGTACTGTTGTTTCTTAGGAAGACTATCCGAGCACCAACTTTGATCAATGTCTTTCAAGCTTTCACCATTAACAGTCAAATAATTCTAGAAGGATACTAACACTTAAGACACTGAAATTGAAGCATTAATTAACAGGATTCAAAAAGATCACAAAATTCATTTTTTATTTAAATTGAGAAAGAAAACCATAAGACAAAGCTGCCAACAAGCTTAATTAGCAAGAACCAGGATTCAGGAAGTTGTGGGATCAGAAGGATTACCCTCCTGCATTGCCAGACCAAAAATAAAAAAGGTTACTCATCAGGAATACACATAAAAGAAATAAATTTAGAAAAGCAAATTATATATAGGATTAAAAGTTTAGCATGCTAACCTGGAAACATAATTACAAGCAGTCATTATTTCAGCCTTTTAGCAACAAAGCAACGTCAATTTCAGCAAAACAACTAGAAAGGTAAGGGGAACCTTCCTTCAGAATTTTTATATCTCAAGATCCATTAGAGTTCAGAGACAAGTTCTTACTCCCTGTCACAACAATTTAAGTGGCTTCATTATACAGAAAAATTCACCTTTCATATCTTTGTGAAACGATCTACACTATTATTGACAAGATGTCTGCCCAGAAACATAAGAATGCTAAGTAGACACAGTTATTGACCATCCATCTCCATCAACAATTCTCCACTTAAAGCCCAAAATGCAATGGAACTGGTGCAACAGAAACGCTAAAAGTATGCCTACAAAATACCTAAAAGAGTAAAAGGAAGGAATAAATTGAAACCCAACACAATACTTATTCCTAGTAGCCAATAGCCAATATATTTCAGGGGCAACCAACAACATTTTACTACTAGGAGCTACTTTTTCTTAGTAGCCAGTAGCCAAGTATTTTATGGGCAACCAATAATATTTTACTACTAGGAACTACTCTTAGTAGCCAGTAGTCTTATGAATGAGGAACAAGCATTTTACCACTAATAACTGCCTCTTCTAAGTAGCCAGTAGCCATTGATATTATGGCGACCAATCATGTTTTACTATTAGGAGCAACTTCTTCTTAGTTAGTAGCCTTATAAGTGAGCAACAAGTATTTTACCACTAGGAGCTATTTCTTCTCAGTAGCCAGTAGCCTTATGAGATAGGAATGAGCACTGTACTACTAGGAGCTACTTCTTAGACATTAGCCTTTTGAGTGAGCAACAATCATTTTAATACCAGGAGCTATTTCTTCTTGGTAGCCAGTAGCCTTATGAGTGAGCAACAAGCATTTTACTACTAGGAGCTACTTAATCTTAGTAGCCAGCAGCCATATATTTCATGAGATATTTTACCACTAGGAACTACTACTTTAAGTAGCCAGTAGCCAGTAGCCAGTAGCCATAGATTTTATGGGTGAGCAATAAGAATTTTACCACTAGGAGCTACTTATTCTTTGTAGCCAGAAGCCATTTATTTCATGGGTGACCCCAATAGCTTTTTACCACTACAAACTACATATATTGAAGAGGCAGTAGCATGTACCATCAAAAGAACCATTACTTATAGGTAGGGCCATTTTTGGAGAGAATTTTCTTCTCTAGTATGAATCTTACATGCTATATAAAAGCCATATGTTTCCAAGAAAACCTAACTGCACCTTACATGCCCATCAATGTTCTCTCATAGCCCCAAATCAAATTCTAAAGCATCTAATAATAGTAGCCTTGTTACTTAAAAGGCAACCACCATATGATCTTAGCAGTCAAGGTTTGCTGATAAGCTGACCCCAAAATTAATTCCAGGGGCCCAGAAAAAATATGAAAATTTGCCCAAACTCAAGGAAAGCACTAATCTGGGACTTGCCTGATTAGTTTCATGCCAAAAAACATCACGTTGTAACCTCAAAATAGAAACTTTTGTGGTTCAGATCAAGGTTTTGTCAATTCCACAAAACCAAGGCTCAAACCAACACCACAAATTACCCTCGGACTAGAAAAATTCTATGTTTTACATCAGGGTTGTTAATTCAATAAACTCTAGACCAAAACCCACTAAGGCACCTTTGCCTCATTACCATCCAGGATCAGATATGCAGATGATTGAATAAAACATAAGAGAGAATTTAATAGAAAAATCAAACAGATGATCAATCACAAGGCAACAAGAACTTAAAATCAAAGGAGCTATAGACACGCTGTACATTCCATCAAGAATGAGTTTCAACTCCAAGGAATCCTCAGTCAAAAAAAGGTCGGATGATGCAAAGATTTAGAGAGAGGAGTCCCTGGAAGTTCATAACTCTCCCATTGTCCATTCAACACCATACCTATCCATGTCTTTGTGAAATGATCTATGCTATTATTGACAAGAAGTCCACCCAGAAACATAAGAATGCTGAGTAGACAATTAATGACCATCCATCTCCATCAATAATTCTCCACTTAAAGCCCAAAAATGCAAAGGAGCTGGTGCAACAGAAACACTGAAAGGAAAAAACAAATGCCTGCCAGATCCGTAGAACACTAAAAAGAAGGAATAAATTGAAACCTAATACAATACTTATTCTTGGTAGCCAATAGCCAATATATTTCGTGGGCAACCAATAACATTTTACTACTAGGAGCTACTTCTTCTTGGTTGCCAGTAGCCATCATTTTATGGGTTAGCAATATTCCTTTTACTGCAAGGAGGTGCTTATTCTTAGTAGCCAGTAGCCAAGCATTTTATGCGTGACCAATAATATTTTACTACTAGGAACTATTTCTTAGTAGCCAGGAGCCTTATGAGTGAGGAACAAGCATTTTACTACTAGGAACTACTTGTTCTAAGTAGCCAGTAGCCATAGATATTATGGCGACCAATCATATTTTATTACTAGGAGCCACTTCTTCTTAGTCAATAGCCTTATGAGTGAGCAACAAGGATTTTATTACTAGAAGCTATTTTTTCTCAGTAGCCAGTAGCCTTATGAGAGTGGAACAAGCATTCTACTACTAGGAGCTACTTCTTAGACATTAACCTTATGAGTGAGCAACAATCATTTTACTACTAGGAACTATTTCTTCTTGGTAGCCAGTAGCCTTATGAGTGAGAAACAAGCATTTTACTACTAGGAGCTACTTAAATCTTAGTAGCCAGTAGCCATATATTTCATGGAACTACTACTTCTAAGTAGCTAGTAGCCATAGATATTATGGGTGAGCAATAAGAATTTTACTACTAGGAGCTACTTATTCTTAGTAGCTAGTAGCCACATATTTTATGGGTGAGCAATAAGAATTTTACCACTAGGAGCTACATATTCTTTGTAGCCAGTAGCCATGTATTTTATGGGTGAGCAATAAGAATTTTACTACTAGGAACTACTTATTCTTAGTAGCCAGTAGCCATATATTTCATGGGTGACCAACAGCTTTTTACTACTACAAGCTACATATATTGAGGAGGCAGTAGCATGTACCATCAAAGGAACTATTACTTGTATGCATGGCCATTTATGGAGAATATTTTCTTTTCTAGTAAGAATCTTACATACTATATAAAAGCCATATTGTTTCCAAGAAAACCTGACTTCACATTACATGCCCATCAATGTTCTCTCATAGCCCCAAATCAAATTCTAAAGCAGCTTACATATTAGTCTCGTTACTTAAAGGCAACCACCGAATGATCTTAGCAGTCAAGGCTTGCTGATAATGTTGACCCTAAAATTAATCCCAAGGGCCCAGAAAAGATGTGAAAACTTGCCCAAACTCAAGGAAAGCACTAATCTGGAACTTACCCAACTAGTTTTATGCCACAAAACATCACGTAGTAGCCTCAAAATAGAAACTTTTGTGGTTCAAATCAAGGTTTTGTCAATTCCACAAAACCAAGGCCGAAACCAACACCACAAATCACCCTCAGACCAGCAAATTTTTGGGTTTTACATCAGGGTTGTTAATTCGACAAAACCTAGACCAAACCCACTAAGGCATCTTAGCGTCCTTAGCATCCAGAATCAGACATACAGATGATTGAATAAAAAGTAGCGAAGAATTTAATAGAAAAATCAAACAGATGATCAATACCAAGGCAACAAGAACTTAAAATCAAAGGAGCTGTAGACACACCGTACATTCCATCAAGAATGAGTTTCTCAACTCCAAGGAATCCTCAGTCAACAAAGGGTCGGATAACGAAACGATTTAGAGAGAGGAGTCCCCAGATGTTGCTAACTCCTCTATTCTCCATTCAACGCCACGCCCAATCAAAGAAATCACCACCGTACTGGAAGATTAGGGTTTCAGGGGAAAGAGAGAACGAATAAGGGAGGTCGAACCTTGTATCTCTGTGGCTTTCTTTATCCTCTTCTCTCTGGCTTTCCCGCTGATTTGGGCTGCACCGTTTCACTGTAGCTTCAATTGGACGCGGTTTCGCTGTTATGAGAATAGGATCGATTATATAAAGAAGATTAAGGCGGTGGGCTTCAACGGCTAGTGCTTATTACTTAGGGATAATCCCAAGATAGCCCTTTAACTTATTTCATTCTCTCATCTCTGCCCTAGATTTGTTTTTCAGGCTGACTAAGTCCTTCTATTATATACACATCATGAGACCTCAGTCAAATTAATGCGT